CTCTGCCTCCCAGGTTCATGCCATTCTGCCGCCTCAGCCTCCCAAGTAGCTGGGACTACAGGCATCTGCCACCACGCCCGGCTAATGTTTTGTATTTTTCGTAGAGACGGGATTTCACCGTGTTTGCCAGGATGGTCTCGATCTCCTGACCTTGTGATCCACCCGCCTTGGCCTCCCAAAGTGCTGGGATTACAGGTGTAAGCCAATGCACCTGGCCCACCATATCCACTTCTAAGTTAAATGTATTCCTTTCTAAGTTATATGTATACCTAAGTTATATATGCAAGAAATAACCACTCATTGAAAAGCTTGCTGAAAAGTGCAGTGGCATTTTCCTACTGGAAGCATAGCAAGAGCTTCAGAGACTTCAGGGAGGAAGAAAAAGGAGACATTGATAAATGTGGCATTCCTTTCCTTTAGTTGTCTGTGATTGTTCAAACCCCGGATCAGACTAACCGCTTCCAGTTCCGATACCCCATGAAGACCCAGTCTGGGCTGTAGGTGTGTGTGGTTGAAACTGAAGACGCACCTCTGTTGGCACATGGCCTTGATAAGGGGCGTGTAGGGTGTGCTCAGCAGAGACAGAGCCAGATAAAGAACAGAGTGATTGAGTGGTGCCAAGTTGGATCATACTGTGGAATTTTAGAAATGGAATATTGAGCCACCATCTCAGGAAGCTCCTAGTGGAAATCCATCAAACCTTACCTAACTCCGTGGTTGTGTTCAAGGTACCAGAACTGTGGTCACCTACATAGCTTGGCTGATACTGATGTCAGTGTGTCAGGTGATGTGGGCACTCTCCCTATCGTGTCCTCAAACTGGACCCCCCTGCTGCAAAGGTTAACTGATCTTCTACAAGACGGGAAAACGCCTCTGGGTGAACATGACCTGACTAGGGATCCCAGAGCAGGGATTACCCGGCTTGTCTACCACAGTGGCCATTTCTGCCGTCTTTCTCTCTGACGTGCAATTACACCCTCCTTTTTCCTTGGTTCTTGTAACTGAAGAGCCACTTTACAATGATTTTGCAAAGCCTAGAGAATTGCAACATTTGTGTGAGGCATTATCTCACATTCAGATCATTGCTGGCTGCGAAATAAATAAAGCATGCTCATGGTTCCCCTGGAAGCTTCAGGTTTTTAGCAGTATGTGGCCTAGGTCTCTCTCTAACCCTTAGATAAACACAGAATGGCTCACTTTCTGCAGGTTCTAAGGCACAGAGCCAGCCCAGACTGTAAGGTAGTCAACCCTTAGCTCAATTCTTTACAGTTTTACTGCTATGGGATATATTGGGGGCCCAGTATAAAGCAAAGCTGGAAGCAGGGATGATCCGTGTATTTGTGGGGGTAGGACATGGACAGGGAAATAGTGTTCCAACTCCATGCTCAGTGTTGTTTCCAATTATAATGTGAAGTTGCCACCATACCAGGGCTATGACTGTGTGCGATGTCTCACCCTTTCAGGAAAAGATGACAGGGCCACTTATCCAGGGCATTCAGGCAATAAAGTCCCTGAGCTCCAAGTTGCTAGATCGAAGGAAGTATTTTTTCCTTCATGTCAAAGCTGGGGTGTGAGTACTGTCATCAAGCAGGAGGATTAAATGAGATAGTAGTACCTCTGCCATTTTTGAAAACCAGTGGAATATACTTTGCCAGATGCAGAAAATACATAGGGGAATGGCTCTATTGCACTTATAAAGTGAAATATATTTATAATAGATCTCCAGTGTATTTTTTAAATATTTCAACATGACATAGTACATAGAGCTTGGCTAATTCCATGAAACAATGTAGTCAGAGCCTAAAAGAATGTTATATTCTGAAATTTCAGTGTTCTGTTCTTACACTGTTGTAATTCATTTTAGAATATATTCAGTTTTATTTTAGAGAAGAATCACTGGCATTTTAAGAAAAGGAGATAAATATTTGATGAAACTGGCAAGTTTTTAACAGAATCTTCCACAGTGATGTTGCTGGATTTTTAAATTCAGGTTTTTAAAATTAGCACCAAGTTTTCCAAGTCAGCTCTGAAAGGATTGTAACTCACAGTAGCATGTCCCCAGCCCACCTCTTCAGCGCTGCTCACTTCCACCCTGTCCCTTTCCTGCTCCCAGAGGCACCCCCAACTCTTGATGGATTGTGACTATGATACTCTGACACCGAGCCCTGATTCCCTTCCTTTCTCAAACAGCTTTGGTTTTGCCTGGACTTAATAATTGACTCAATTATCATTTTTCTTAGCCTCCTGGGTACTTCTCACTAAGTTATTCCCACATTTTCCCTGCGTGGTGTACATCTCTTTTCAAGTATTCAAGCACACTAGGTAGTTAGCATCTCTCGGAGCCTTTTTCTCCCTGCTCCAGGGAAGATCAACTGACCTGTGGACCTACCGCAGCCTTCACCTCCGCCCCAGAGATTTCCCTGGCTTTTGTCTTGTGCTTCACCCACGCCTTGCTCTTTTCCACTCCATGACTCGCTTGCCTTGGCAGAGCAACCCTCACCAATAGCTTCTTGAAAAAGTGTGCATGGGAGGTAAAACTTTTGAGGCCTTGAATATTGAAAATATTTTTCTTTTAAACACACTTGAGTGATAGTTTGGTTTAGAGTTCTAGGGTAGAAATCATCTTCCTTCGAAACTTACTGCTCCTTGTCTTCTAGCTTTCAGTGCTACTGAGAAGCCCGGGGCCGGAAGCCCATAGGAAGCTGTGTCCCCCAATAGTGTTCGGTGACATGCCCTGATGGGGCTTTTCCCATGCACTGCACCACCTCCCACGATGGGCCCTTTCAGTTCTGAAACTGGTGTCTTTCAGTCTCAGACGTACGCTGTCGCCTCTTTCTGGAAATCCTGTTATTTGGGTGTTGGACTTTGTTTCTTTAACTCTTCTCCTGTGCTTCATTTGCACGCCTTCGTCCTTCTGCTCTGTCTCCGTGGTAGGCTTCCCTAAACTTATCTCACTGTTAACTCGTGAATTTTCCTTTCTGCTTTTATCTTTTTTGTTCTGTGAATGTCCTTTTTTTTGGGGGGTGGGGGGGATGGAGTTTCACTTTTGTTGCCCAGGCTGGAGTGCAGTGGCGCCATCTCAGCTCACCACAACCTCCGCTTCCCGGGTTCAAGCAATTCTCCTGCCTCAGCCTCCCAAGTAGCTGGGATTACAGACATGCACCGCCATGCCCAGTTAATTTTGTATTTTTAGTGGAAACGGGGTTTCTTCATGTTGGCCAGGCTGGTGCTGAACTCTTGACATCAGGTGATCCACCCGCCTCGGCCTCCCAAACTGCCGGGATTACAGCCATGAGCCACAGCGTCCGGCGTGAATGTGTTTTTTATAACATTCTCCTTCTGTTCTTGTTTTGTGGGCGCAGTGGCTTCTCCCATCTCTCTGGGGATGTCAGTGGAGGAAAGTTTTATTTTTTCCCCCCTCTCTCTCTCTGTATTGTCTTTGTTTCCTCTTAAGTTGCAGTTTTTTCCATAGTTTTGGTCTCTGCACATTGGAGGCCTCTGTCAAAGCGTGCTTCTCCCTGGTTGCCTGCTCATTTTGATAAGCGGGGCTCTGGTGACTAGCTGTAGTAACTCTGCCCTCAGCCATGCCAGGCGCCCCCCACCCCACCCATTTTACCTTATCCGGAGACTAGGAGTTGATTGGAAGCTGTGATCACCAGGATGAGGTTTCTCACCTGCGAGGGTCTCACTGATGGCTGCTCCAGTGTGGCTGCTTCATTGGGAGACTTAATTTTCAGGAACTTGACTTCTTTTCTCTTGGGCTGGTCAGATTCCTCAGAGACCATTTCCGGTCTCCTACCTGGGAAGGCCTCAACTAGTTTCTCATGTTCTGGGAGCACAGAAGAGGAAGGAAGCCCGAATATGCAAATGTCATCCTTCTCTTAATCCCCCCGTTTTCCATGTACAGATTAAGTATGCCTAATCCAAAAATGGAAAATCCAATTTTTTGATTTTTGAGCACTGACAGGACTCTCAACATAAATGTTTATTGGAGCATTCTGGACTTTGTATTTGGGGATTAGGGATGCGTAACCTGTAAGTATAATGCAAATATTCTAAAATCTGAAAACTTCAGAGTCCAGAACACTTTTAGTTCCAAGCATTTCAGATAAGGGTTACTCAACCTGTAGTAACTCTGCCCTGGGCCATGCCAGGTACTCCTCTGTTTTACCTCATCCAGAGACTAAACTCCTGTTTCCAGTCAAATTCGGGGAGATGTAGTCACCAGCTGTGCAAGGGGAGCTGTGGATGGATTGCTTGCTAACCTGACTTCCAGCCATCCTGCTCTGGACCCCGCCTTCACCCCATCTCCGGAAGGACCTGTGCCTCACTTCCTGATCTGTGGGGAAGGGAGGTGGGGAGAGAGCTCCACTTTCCCCATTGGGTTCAGGATTCCCTTTTCCTGCATCTGTTACATCAGTTTACCACCTCCCATCTGCTTTTCAGAGTTCCAATTCTGTTGCTGTCTCATCTCTTATTCTTGTAACTAGACTTTAAAAGGTTCATAGGCTGATCCTTACTCTAAACACTAACATTTCCCTTTTCATTATGTGTGCTGATTCTGTGTGGTTCTGTACACATCCAAGAACTTCCAGGTCTTTTTTTTTATTTGTTAAAGCTGTAAACATTATATGAATAAACATGTCCAGGCGGAACTGGCCAAGCTGTGTGGCAATCTCCTTAAGCCTGGCCCCAAAGCACATTGGTTCTGAACAGGCCTGCTCACCCATTCAGAAATCAATGACCCACTCTTGGAGGAGCCACATCTGCTCTGCCATGGGAGTCCCCTGGGTACAGCCATGGCTAATGGACCAGGGCCTCTGTGGTCAGGAGACAGCCAAGCAGGCAGGTGGCAGATCTGGGACCAGCATGCCCGCCACCCAGTCGGGCCAGTTGTCCCCCTTTCGTAACTCTCCAAGGATTGTGCCACACCTGACCTGTTCATTTCACTCGCTTCCACGTTTTTCCTCACAACCCTGTTCGATGTCTTTCTCCCCCAGCTCTGTTTCGTGATGTTTTGGACACCCAACGTGTCCGAGAAAATCTTGATAGACATCATTGGAGTGGACTTTGCCTTTGCAGAACTCTGTGTTGTTCCTTTGCGGATCTTCTCCTTCTTCCCAGTTCCAGGTAAAGAAAAACAGAATGAAAGAAACATTCTTGTTTATCCTCATGCCTAATTAAATCTGTCTTTGGAAATGTTTGCAATCATGTCACCAACACAAATGTAAAATTTCATTGTGGCTCAGAAAGATGCAAAAACATTAGCCAGTAAGGTGAAAGTTCAAGAAATGAATCAATAGGTATAACTTGTTTTTATATATTTTTTATTTATATATTTATATTCATTTTAGAATATATTATAAAATAATTTTTTTTTTTGGAGACAGAGTCTCTGTCTGGAATGCAGACTGGAATGCAGTAGCACAATCTCGGCTCACTGCGACCTCTGCCTCCCGGGTTCAAGCACTTCTCCTGTTCAGCCTCCCAAGTAGCTGGGACTACAGGCGCCCACCACCACACCCAGCTAATATTTGTATTTTTAGTAGAGATGGGGTTTCACCATGTTGTCCAGGCTTGTCTCGAACTCCTGGCCTCAAGTGCTCCTCTTTGGCGTCCCAAAGTGCTGGGATTACAGGCGTAAGCCACTGCACCTGGCCGTATAACTTGTTTTTAAAAGTGCAGTGATTGCAAAAACAGTAAAAAGAAAGTAGACCCGAAAGGATAGCATGTGTAGTTTTGGAGACAATAAAACTGCCCTCTGTCTTGATTGTGGTGGTGGTTACACAAATGTGTTCATGTATTAAAATTCTCAGAACTGTGCACCAAAAAGCCAGTTTTACAATACGTTAAATTTAAAAAGTGAAATGAAAAAAAGAAAAATAGAGTGAGCTTATTGCTAAAGCCTGGAGATATACAAAGACAGAGAAGGACTGCTGTAGAAAGGAAGATTCCAGGGCAACCTGAGGCCAGATGATGGATGGTCAGAAAGGAAACTGCTCATGGCTGAGACAAAAGCCAGTTGAAAAGTTATTACACCAAGCCGATATAGTGGTGGAAGGTGTACCAGACAAGAATGAGGTCGTTCTAGATTAAATGAGAAGAGCAGGTTGCAGAATGGTTGATTAGTATGCAACCATTTCCATAGCAAATATGTAGCACATGTATATCTGTATTGTCATATGGATGTGCTAAGTGCTTGCATAGCTACATTCTTTTTCTGTAAGTAACTCACCAAGCTGCTAACAGTAGTTGCCTGTGGGAAGCAGGACAAGGGCCTGGGAAGTCACCACTGGGAAGAAGACCTTTGTACTCTATTCCCTTTTGTACCTTTTAAATTCTGTACCAGGTGTGTCACCTAGTCAAAAATCAGTTTCCCCAAAAGATCCACTTAAATCATTAAACTGGGAATCCAGAATCTACAAAGCCACATGTTAAGAAAGGAGCCATGGGCCGGGCACAGTGGCTCACGCCTATAATTCCAGCACTTTGGGAATCCGAGGCAGGTGGATCATCTGAGGTCAGGAGTTCGAGACCAGCCTGACCAACATGGTGAAACCCCATCTCCGCTAAATACAAAAAATTAGCCGGGCATGGTGGCACGTGCCTGTAATCCCAGCTACTCAGGAGTCTGAGGCAGGAGAATCGCTTGAACCCAGGAGGCGGAGGTTGCAGTGAGCTGAGATTGTGCCACTGCACTCCAGCCTATGCGATAAGAGTGAAACTCCGTCTCAAAAAGAAAGAAAAAAAGAGAAAAAGAAAGGAGCCACGGAGCCCAGGCAGGCCAGGGCTGATGGGAGCAGCCCTTGTTCCAAGGCCTTGCGGCATCACTTTCTGGGCTGTGGCAGAAATGGAGAAGTGGCTGGAAGATCACAGCACCGGGATGGCATCTGGACTTGGGTAGCCACAGGGTGAACCAAGCTGGGGAAAGTGTCACCATCCAGAAGGAGCTGCACTCGCAGATTGAGGCACATGCAGCTATATTTCCTATGGTAGTGACCAGAGGAGGGGCCTGGAGTGCCCCAGCTGGGAGCAGGCTATAGCTGGGTATGCGATTCGCCTTCAATCTCCATTTGACTCCACTTTCTTGTCTGTAAGATGAAGGGTTTCCAGACAGCTGCCAGGCCCTGCCACTCTTTGCAATCTGTTGGATTTGGGCTACCCAGTTTAGCATATGCCTGGGACCGACTCTCTCCTTCGGTCAAAAACCTCAGTGGGTCTGTCTGCCTAAGAGAAGAAAATTAGCCTTGTTAGTATTAATATAAGGCTTCCACCCAGAGGAAGGCAGGACATATACTGTTAGACCAAGAAGACGGCAGAGGCTTCCTTCCAAACCAGCAATCCTGGAAAGGAATCTTTATCCCAGGAATGAGCACTTCCTCCTCCAAGAGCCTTTGCCTGGTGCTGTCCACAGGGAGGTGACGGGCCCCTGTCTTCAAGGAGCAGGCTCTGCCCTGCGCTTCCTCAAGCCTTTCCAGTTTCAGATGGAATCTAGATGCTCAGGGACCTTCCTACTGACAAGGGCAAGCTCCGTGCTCTCCACAGTTGCCCGCTGTCCACCCACGGCCCTCCTGCAGCTGATCCAGTGAGGAGGCAAGCACGGGGAGGCCACGCAGCCTGTGGTGCAATGGCAGCGCACCGAGGGCCACAGCATTAGGAGAGGGAGAAAGGGAAGTGACCTCAGTGGAAGTGGTCAGGACCAGCTCAGGGAGGGAACAAAGGGAAGTGGGGACGTGCAGCTTCCTCCTCCTACCTCACTGCTCTGGTCTCCATACCTCTGACCACAGGCAGGGAAGATGACTTCTGGTGCCAGCTTTTCTGCTCACCCAGCATCACACCAGAGTGCCGTCATATTGCCACTCTTCTCTGAGTGTTCCCTTCTAGAGGTGGATGATCGAGGGCGAGGCTGGGCAAGTGTGGGGACAGGACTGGACAGGAGCAGCTAGGCTGCCTGGAAGATGTGGTCCCAGTGGAGCAAGGAGCCTGCCGGTCCCCAGCCGTTTAGACCCAAAGGGCTGTGAGGAGGCGGGGACCCGAGGCGGGCCTAGGCTCAGGAGCAGGGATGGGGAGCCCTGGCAGGAAGACGGGGTGGCCAGAGGCTCAGCAGCAAGACCAGGGTCCCAGGCAGCCTCTGGCGCTCGGACGTGCTGCCCTGGTCCAGAGGCAGCAGGATGGGGAGGGGACGCGGGCACGCCTGACGAGTCCTTTGCTCCTCCCCACAGTCACAGTGAGGGCGCATCTCACTGGGTGGCTCATGACGCTGAAGAAAACCTTCGTCCTGGCCCCCAGCTCTGTGCTGCGGATCATCGTCCTCATCGCCAGCCTCGTGGTCCTGCCCTACCTGGGGTATGTCGTCAGGGAGTTTGGGGCTGTGGGTCCTTCTGCCCCTTCAATACTGTGTCCAGAGGTTTAAGATCTACATTTCCATGGGAAATCCCTAGGCATGTCTAGAATCGGAAATTCAGAATGATGTTTTGTGTGTCTGCCCAGGCACCAGGTGGAGGCTCTTGGGATCCATTCTAGAAAAGAGCTTTTGGGGTCAGGCCCAGACACAAGTAATAGCCACTGAGCTCCTGTCGGGGTGCGGCTGGCCCTGCACGGGCTCGAGCGTATGCTGGACGTGAAAACCAGAAGAGGAGGATATGGTCCCCGCGCTCAGGGAGCTCCCAGTGTCCTGGGAGGGCAGGAAGGGCTGTGGGGTCCGTGTGCTGTAGGATCCATGTGCTGCGGGAGGGAGGCGGCCCAACCCCGAGTTCCCAGTTCCCCTCACACATTAGGTTATTAGCTGCACCCTTACGAAGCCAACAGATGGAGAACACCGCTGGTCTCAGCCGTCTCGAGGCTACACTTACTTTCCTGGGTTTTGGTATGGACAGTTGTGCCTTGACTTGGCCTTAACAGACAAATCGCCTTTGTGTTCTCATCTGCAGGGTGCACGGTGCAACCCTGGGTGTGGGCTCCCTCCTGGCGGGCTTTGTGGGAGAATCCACCATGGTCGCCATCGCCGCGTGCTATGTCTACCGGAAGCAGGTGAGACAGCCACGCCGGGAGCCTCCTCCCGGGTGCATCCTGCTGGGTGCAGGAGAACCTGAGCAGCCGCTGACCAGAGTTGGATGGTGGCACTCATCAGTGGGGGATCCTTGGTGACCTTGCCCAGTCTTGTGGCTTAGGGTGGCTGGAAGCCTAATGGGAGTGGGGTAAGAGAAAAGGGGAAAAGCTGAAGGCAGCAAGTAGAGACAGTCCCTTTGAAGAGTTTTGCTCCAAAGGAGAGAGAGGTGTGGACATGGATTTCAGAAAGCCAGCGAAGATGGGGCAAAGTTCAGCCTATGGCTTGCTTCGGGGGAATGACCCAGACAGGCAGTGCTGCCAGTGGGAGAGGGGACAGTGATACGAATGTGTCTGTGCACACGAGGACCAGGCGCCCAAGACAGGAGCTCGGGCGGCCTCTCTGGTCACGGGCGGAGCAGAGATGCAGTCCAACAGGTTGCGCAAGGGCCTTTCTGATCGCTTTTGTTTTTCTCAGTGAAGTAGGAAGCCAGATCATCGTCTGAGAAAAGGGAGGTGTTGGAGGGTGGAAGAACAAGGACACATGGGTGGGGAAGCAGTTGGTCAGGAGAATGGCAGAGTGAACAGGCCGGGACAGCAGGGTGACGGCCAGACCACTCAGAGGGCCTGCTCACGGTGCGTGACGCGCATCTCAGGACACTGGCTGTCCCCTGCTGTTGGGTTTCCCCAGCCATGGCAGCTGGGTGGTGTGGGCTGAGATGGTAGAGATCTGAACCTCAGCACAGGTGGGGCTTTGCCTGGCAAATATGATGGAAGAAAAGCAGGATAGGGAAATGATGGTCATTACTGAGCATGTCATGTAAGCTGAGGAAAGAGCGGAGGGAGGACATCGAGAAGGTGGCCACAGTGAAGGGCTGGTGGGATCCGTGGATGGGGGACCAGCAGGGTTGGCAGACAAAGGACAGTGTCTTTGCCTTGGCATGTTGGTGGTGCCCCACATGTCGATAATGGCAAGGTCTGCAGTGACCCAGGAGTGGTTGAGGTGGGCTGGGGCTGTGAACCTGATCCCTGAGAGGCCATTTATTGTAAGAACAGGCAACATGGCAGGGAAGTGACCAGGAATTAGGACAGGCAGTAAGTGGGAGAGAATGACAGCAAGCCTGAAGCTGTCCCAGAGGTGACTGACGGAGGCTGTACAAGGTGCAATATTCTGATAACGTGAGGTTCCAAGCTTGAGGCTTTAGGGAGGAGGAAGGAAAAGAAGTCTGCAGGTGACTGTGAGGAGTCGGGGAGAGCGCAGCCCTCATTGGAAAGGGCAGCAGGGGGTGGGTTGTCTGGGGCGGGGCAGTGGGACACAGTGTCCTCCGAAGTGCCTGCCTAGCTCAGTGGCAGGCGCACAGACACGAAACTGCAAGGAACACGCTGAACTAAGATGCAGAAGAGGTGAGGCCACCCCAACCATAAGAAGGTTTAAGCCTACAGCGGGGGGTCCCCCCAGACCCTGGTGGTGTCTCCCTGCTCGTGGTTCTGCTGTGCAGTGTCCCTGTCCACAGCCCCACACTGATGAGTCTTCTTTGGTCTAGAAAAAGAAGATGGAGAACGAGTCGGCCACGGAGGGGGAAGACTCCGCCATGACGGACATGCCTCCGACAGAGGAGGTGACAGACATCGTGGAAATGAGAGAAGAGAATGAATAAGGCACGGGACGCCATGGGCACTGCAGGGACAGTCAGGATGACACTTCGGCATCATCTCTTCCCTCTCCCATCGTATTTTGTTCCTTTTGTTTGTTTTGTTTTGGTGATGAAAGAGGCCTTGATTTAAAGGTTTCGTGTCAATTCTCTAGCATACTGAGTATGCTCACACTGACGGGGGGACCTGGTGAATGGTCTTCACTGTTGCTATGTAAAAACAAGCGCAACAACTGACTTCATGCCCTGCCTCACGAAAACCCAGAAGACACAGCTGCCTCACGCTCGACGGTGTGTCCTCCTCCCCTGGACAATCTCCTCTTGGAACCAAAGGACTGCAGCTGTGCCGTCGCCTCTCGGGCACCCTGCACAGCAGGCCACAGACTCTCCTGTGCCCCTTCATCGCTCTTAAGAATCAACAGGTTAAAACTTGGCTTCCTTTGATTTGCTTCCCAGTCACATGGCCGTACAAAGAGATGGAGCCCCGGTGGCCTCTTAAATTTCCCTTCCGCCATGGAGTTCAAACCCATCTACTCCACACATGCAGGAGGCGGGCGGCAGGCTGCAGCCCGGAGTCCCCGTTCACACTGAGGAACGGGGAGACCTGTGACCACAGCGGGCTGACAGACGGACATAATCTCCCGTAGAAAGGTTGGAAATGCCCCGGGGACAGCAAACTGACACGGTTGAATGATAGCATATCACTCTGTGTTCTCCTAGATCCGAGCGAGCTGTCAGTTCTCACCCCCACCGTGTATATACATGAGCTAACTCTTTTAAGTTGTCACAAAAGCGCATCTCCAGTTTCCAGCCCCTGCCGCATGACTTTTCCTGAAGGCTTGCTTTTCCCTCGCCTTTCCTGAAGGTCGCACTAGAGCGAGTCACATGGAGCGTTCTAACTTTGCATTTTAGTTTTTCCAGTGAACTGAAGCTTTAAGTCTCATCCAGCATTCTAATGCCAGGTTGCTGTAGGGTAACTTTTGAAGTAGATGTATTACCTGGTTCTGCCATCCTTAAGTCGTAACTCTGCGGTACAGGTAATTCAGAATGTACTATGGTACTTCCCTCCCACACCATACGATAAAACAAGACATTTTATGATGATACCAGAGTCACTATGTGGTCCTCCCCGAAATAACACATTCGAAATCCATGCAGTGCAGTATATTTTTCTAAGTTTTGGAAAGCAGGTTTTTTCCTTTAAAAAATTATAGACACAGTTCACTAAATTGTTGATTTAGTCAAAATTCCTAGACTGAAAGAACCTAAACAAAAAAATATTTTAAAGATATAAATATATGCTGTATATGTTATGTAATTTATTTTAGGCTATAATACATTTCCTATTTTCGCATTTTCAATAAAATGTCTCTAATACAATACGGTGATTGCTTGTGTGCTCAACATACCTGCAGTTGAAACGTATTGTATCAATGAACATTGTACCTTACTTGCAGCAGTTTTATAAAGTCCGTCATTTGCATTTGAATGTAAGGCTCAGTAAATGACAGAACTATTATTTTTCATTATGGGTAACTGGGGAATAAACGGGTCACTGGAATAGGAATAGAAGTGTAAGCTGGAAGGGCAAAAATGAGAAAGAAAAAGGTAGGCCCTTTGTGTCTACCATTTTTAGTGCTGTGTGATCATATTGTTCCTCATAGCGAAAAAGAATGCAAGGGCATGAAGTTAGCTGTGGGCATGCCAGGGTTGCATTCACATTCCTGGGTACCCAGTGCCGACGGGGTGTGCCCACATGGGGACATGTCCTTGGTGTGCTTCCTCAGAGTGGCTTTTCCTCCATTAATATATATATGAGTGCTGAAAACAAGTTGCATAGCTGCTTTGCAGTGGCTTCAGAGGCAGATCTGAGAAGATAAAAAAACTCAATGTATCAGCTTTTTTTAAAGGACATTACTAGAAAATTAAACAGCAGTATTTTTTAACATGTGTGACTCTTTCATGATTCTGGGGTTGGAGCTTAAAGATCCAAATTGAGAAAGCAGGCCAGGCACAGTGGCTCATGCCTGTAATCCCAGCACTTTGGAAGGCCGAGGGGGGGTGGATCACTTAAGGTCAGGAGTTCGAGACCAGCCTGGCCAACATGGCAAAACAACGTCTCTACTAAAAGTATAAAAATTAGCTGGGCACGGTGGCATATGCCTGTAATCCCAGCTATTCAGGAGGCTGAGACAGGAGAATCGCTTGATCCCGGGAGGCAGAGGTTGCAGTGAGCTGAGATAGCGCCATTGCACTGTAGCCTGGGTGACAAGAGCAAAACTTCGTCCCCCCCCCAAAAAAAGAAAGCGAATCCTTTCCCTCTAAATCCAGGAAGGATCAGCAAGGGCCTCCTCATTATGACATAAGGAAATAAGGAAATATAACTCCAGAGATCCCTTCAGGGATCAAGATCAGTGGGCCATAATATTTGGTTAGAGTTTCTGAGAACACAGGAAGCAGTGCCACACTCAGGCCACCACAATGGAGCTGATTTGGCAGGACTTGTCCAAACCGTTCACCTTAAAGCACGTGATCCTTCTTCATACATTTTCTTCACTTGGGCTGCTTAAGTCACAGCCTAACAACTTCTGAGGCAAAAACTGAGAATTGGCATATTCTCCTGCGTTTGTTCTAACCGAGTCTCGTCATCCAGCTAGACATGAGAGGAGATCAAACCAGGGAGAGTGACCTTTCTTCTTCCCACTTTTCAGAGTCATTAGGGGCAACCTTTTGACTTTTGTGACCAAAGAAACATTCCCCCAAAACATTTTTCATTGCAGGGTGTTCAGCTGACAGCTGCATTTAGAAGGGTACCATGCCTGTGAGATTCTCATGTCAAAGACCATGGAAAGACCAGGTGTGACTTTCTCCAAAATTGAGTGACTGCTTGTGGACGAATACAATCTGAAAATACAAGGCCATGAAGTAGTTTTTCATTTAGATGCTGAGAAACAGGTTTGCGCAGTTCAAAGCATAGAAAATAGAGAGTGAGGGTTTTCTCTGAGCAAGCCAAGGCTAGAGCTCCTCCTTTGCTGGCCTATTTGAGGGAAACGAGGTCATCCTAAATGTGCAGTTGTCATTTGTTCTGTAGTGACTTACAGGGATCTCAGTGGCAAAGGGCGTCAGTGAGACACTCAACAATTGAGCAAAAAGAACTAGACGAGGCTTGCACTCGGAAAGTCATGGTAGGATTGGACCTGCCAGCCACATGGCTCACGGAGTATTGATGGATTTGCACATTGGCAGGAAACCCTCCCATTTGAGATTCTTCAAATGGGGTGCAGAAGGCCACTTGTTTGCATTTCTGGATAAAAACCAGTCATCCCCCATGACTGCCTGCATCGGGTTTGTCTTGTGCCAAAGTTACTCTTCCCTTGTTTTCACTTTGCCTTGATTTTTAGCATTAGCCAGTAGTTTGGCTTGGAAATGTCCTGGATAGCCGATTCCCTAAGAAACTGAAACATTTAATATTGGCTTAGGATGTATCAGAGGGGGCCAAATAAAGCTGCTTTACAATAGTAAAATCACTTTATACTTCACTCCCTCAGTCTTCCCAATAAAGAACCTTGGGAGGTATAAGGGGTGGGGAGCCCCGGATGGGGAGGCCTGGGAGCTCCCAGGGTAATGACAGAGCTGGGCTGAGTTCTCCAGACACCAGGGTGCATCGCAGCGGGGCCAGCTGAGGAGTGCTCACTCCCAGCCCTCTGGATCTCTCTCCTGGTTGGAATAATCATTACATATCATAACTCTCAGAAAATTTATTCACTTAAATCTTCAGAAGAAGAAGTGTGAAATGTTAGCAGCTCCCTGCTCTCACTTGTTCCCCATTTGGGGATCTTCTGGAGGGAAGGGGCAGGGGGAGAGTAACTTTTCCATGCCCTTGCTTTCTAGAAACATCGATTTCCAGACTCAGTAGCTGACTGGTTTTTTTTCCCCTTCAAATTGAAGTGGGAGAGAGAGTGTGTTTTGCAAAATAGCAAGTATTTATAGTGGTGTAATTACATTTCCTTGAGAAATATTTTCTTGTATTTAAAAATCTTTCTACTTCAGTAACTCTCTCAGCAGAACAGTGCCCAGGACAGCATGTGCCGGTTAGTACCAGCTTTGCAGGTGAGCTGACTTCTAAACTTAGGATGACGTCTTCATCAATCAGACCATTGCACGTCCAGGAAAAGGGGTCCTTTATCTTCTAAGTTCTGCTCCCCATCTTTCTTTTGGAACCAAAGTTGCAGTGGAGTGTGAGGAAGGGCTTTGAAAGATGTGGAGTGCTGAGATGTCTGCATTGCATATTCAGCCAGTTCAAAGCCAGCAGCTCCTGCCTGCATTCTGTAGACAGCGCCCTCACACACAGCCCTCTGACGGCTCTCACATAAAGCACTGGAACCGTAGGAAAGCATGTTTTTGAGCAACGTGTTTGGTAACCATTCGGGATACTCCTCTGTGTGGTTATTTTGAATCTCTATTTCTGTCATTGAAGCAGCAAAAAACATCATGTGACTCATCCACTGATCTAACCACACTTAAAACAGGATGTAGAGAAAAATCTGAAGAGAAACGTAAAAGGGCCTGTTGCCTGCCCTTTTAAAGGCACAATGTCTAAAATCATGCAAATGTTCAAAATGAGAGAAATTGCATTGTGCAATCAACCCAAACTGCACTCAGAAGTCAGAGAAGTCACAAATACATAGTATACTATCTGATCTCAAAAGGGAAAAAGGAGATTGACGAGACCGAAAGTTTAGACTATTTTCTTCTCGAGGGGACATTCAATCTATTAACTTGCAACTTTCCGCTAGGAAGAGCATCAAAGGTGGGCCTCCTAAATCATTTTTGAAAAATCTTTGTCAACCAAGTGGTTCCAGGAGAATTTATAGCCAGTATCTCTTAAAATATTTCATTTTAGTGATAATGGTTTTCTCAGCTTCATTTGCAAACAACCAGGATCTCTAAAAGACTGCATAAGATATATGCACTTTTATAGATGGCTGTCAGCTACACACCGATTCAGCAAATGTTTTTTATGTAGTACCTGTTTTAAGTTAGGCTATGTAACTTAAAGTGCACTTCACTAACAAGACTTGACATCAGCGTCTCCAATATGTATATGTAAACAAAAGCACACAAGAACTAGGCACCCTTCCTCTCTCCAAGAGTTTAAGTGGTGGTTTCCTTAGGTTAAAGAAGGGGACAGACCAGCTAAAAATGGTTGTACCACTCACTGTACAACCTCATGGAAATTCTTACTATAAGATTTAGAGGCAACGTTCCCTAGCTATGAGCCAGGGCAAGAAACGGCACCTTTGGCGTTGGGGAACATTTGAGAAACATAACAACTAGGTAGATGCTGGTTCCCTGAAGTGTGGGGCCATAAACATGCGGGGACCCATGGTTTGAATAAACCAGCCTCTGAAAGCTAAGTTCAAACCACCCTTGCATAACAAAGGAAATTGAGTACAGGGTACACATCACCACCAATCACCAGCACCCCACAGCGTTGGTCATGTCACTAGGCGGCAGGCCCCTTACCCCAGGGCTGCCACATCCACAAGCCTTGCAGTGGCAAATACACCGCTCCCTGGATGCAATGAGATATTTTGGTTGCTTAACGATGTACTGATCAGGGAACTGTCTAAAGCTAGTAGGACCAAGGAGTTAATCAAAGGGCTTCGGGAAAGTGGACAAGAGCCATGCACGCGATTCTGTTCCATGCCAACACTCATTCATTTAAGGAATGTATTCAAGCTGGAAGCTTCCATATCATTCACGCTTCTTGGCCTCACCTCGCTCATCTGTCCAATGGGAGGCTTAAGCCATTATTGCTAAGGTCCCTTCCTGGTCTAACACTCTGTGTATGATCTAGGATTTGGAACGTGGTATGAGATCCTACAATGGAAGAATAAAATTACCTCATTCTTCATTTCAGATCTGAATATTAGCAGTCATCTAGATTTTTTTTTTTT